ATTAGTATGCCACCTTGTGTGTATATATTAAATCATACAACAGTACATTAACATGCCTACTTGTGTATGCATTTAATCATACAACAATACATTAGTTGTTTACATTTTGTTCATTAAAATATTTTTCTGGAAATAAAAGGCTGGCCAAGAGGTGGACAAAGAGCCACGACTTTTCTATCTTTCGAATGCTAAGTTCTTCAGGACACGTAGTTATGTCTCATTTCTCTTTCGCATATCTAGGATTGAGGACAGATAACTATGGATCTTTCTGGTCGCGAATTATCAGTTGGTAGCAAAGGTATCCGGCAAAAGCGGCCTCAAAAGTAATGATATAACTGGGGCCGTCCCTCGCACTGTATGGGGCCGTAACACATGAAACGTTCGTCGGATGCAACGGTATTGTTACCATGTACGACATCAAACGCCAAAATTGAATCATTTCTAGTTTGCGTAATCATTTAAACTCCATATCTGAGATCCATTTGAATTTGTTATTCTACCTCATTACGTCGAATTTGGTTCAGTCAGTTCCTCACAATAACCGGACAGGCAACTCTGATTTCTACCTGGATAGGCTCTGGGTACGAGGATTTTGTTACATGTGTAATTTATATGCGTGACAATTCTGATATGATATTAAATAAGTGGACTAAACTTTTCCAAATTCCATGGATCTAGTTTAAAATTGTTATTTTTTAAACTACCCGTGTTTTGAAAATCATCAAAGGAAGAAATGAAATGTAGAATTTGTGTTTTTCAACTATGTGTGTATCTTGATACAGTGTTTCGGGATGTCATTCTACACATAAAGACACGTTTTTCTTCCTTTGATGTTTTTGAAACCACAGGAGGTTTTATTCGTATCGTCGAAAGGGTTCAGTGTGTGTGTGCTTTTAATATTCGTACGCTATATGTATGTATTGTTGTTTTAGAAATCGTACATTTATATCAAATTAAGTGTAAAATACATTTTCCAAAAAAGAATGCAGAAAGACGAGGCTTAAAGAGAGTGATGTTAAACCTTTTATGTTATTCAACATGTGGTAATATACAAATATAATGCAGGAATATTACCACGTAAATTTCTGCTGAGACTTGTATCATATGTACGACCTGAATTACATGCGTTTACAATTGGCTGTAATTAAATACTCGTACATTTGAGTGTTCCATGTATAATCTCTACGGTGACTCTTTCGTACCTCGAGAAAGGGTTGAGACTGATACAGCCTTACACCACGCTTTCTCACGATTCAGCATAGACAACTAATCAACTTGCACTCAGCAGGTGGTCTTCTGCTATACCAAACACACCCACCTTGACAATGCCTGCTTCCACCCATTCATGATGTTAGAAATACACGTAGGTTCAAGAAGTCTCGATAGAAATGAATAAAAACCCTATAACCCGAGCGCTTTCAAAAGGTGGACCTTTCTTCTTCAGGGACAAACTTCAATCCATAATGTTCGTTTCCTAATATCGTTCATCTCGCTTGTTTAAGAATATTTGGACATAAACCATAGTTTTAATGAATATGATTTGTCTTTAATGTATTCTTAGAGGGATCAATAGCGACACCACACGGTTTGGAATAATATCATGCTACGCTAGCCTTAAGCGACACCGCACGGCCGTTTGGAAATTCACTTCAATGTATTGTGAAATGGATATAATACTTATAACAACGGTTAATCGTGAATTTCTAAGTATTTAGTATCGGTTAGAATAATGTTAAGTATTTAAGGTTGGTAGAGAGCAAAACGCGTTATACTTTGATTTGAAGTCTTCTACACAGAAAAGGTAATTTTACAATTGATGGTGTCCTTCCGGGGACACTACTGTAAGATCGGGGCACTGTCCCCAAACATCGGTCGCGTCTGAACACCTTGATTTTATATTATCATTATTATTAAAGAAATGGCCTTTTCGTGGGTGAATAATAACATATTTATTTCTGATTATATTGCACAAATAACCATTTATACTGATCAAGATCATGGCATTCTTTGCACATGTTGTAACACGTGTAACTACAAAAGTTATCAACAACGATAACAAGGACAACGTGACAGAATATTCCATAGTTGGGCAGATACAAACCTTTGACTCAAAACACAACCGCTTGATATATATTTATATCTATATTATTCTATTTCAGAGAGTTTTACGAAAGTAAATAATAACTTTATCTTATCTGTGCAGCGCTTTTACAATATGCGAATGTTTTAAAATATAGTATGTATGACATTTCATAGAGTCCTGTTTCTTAACTTGTCGGTTGTCAAGATAAAAACAACACAAACTTATCTTTAAATATATATACTAACTCGCTTCATTTACAAAGCCAGACAGCCCCCCCCCCATGGCACAGCGGTATATCTGCGGACTTACAACGCTAGAAT